CATCCTTCTCTAAATTTTACCCCTGCATGGCCCACAAAAGGGTGAGTGAACTTGGCATAGCCACTTCCCTCTCGAAATTTTAGCCCTGCGTTGCCCACAAAAGGGTGAGTCAAGTTGGGGTGACTACTTCCTTCTCTAAATTTCACCCTGCCCACAAAAGGGTGAGTCAAGTTGAAATGGCAACATCCTTCTCTAAATTTTACCCCTGCATGGCCCACAAAAGGGTGAGTGAACTTGGCATAGCCACTTCCTTCTCGAAATTTCACACTGCCCACAAAAGGACAAAAGGGTGAGTGAGTGAGTGAGTGAGAGTGAGTGAAAGTGAGTGAGAGTGAGTGAGAGTGAGTGAGTGAGAGTGGGTGAGTGAGAGTGAGTGAGTGAGTGAGTGAGTGAGAGTGAGAGCGAGAGTGAGTTTGAAGCAGCGCATCCCCGTGTACAGACGAGGTATATCATTCGCGTGTACAGATGAGTCACTTTTCGCGTGTACAGCCGGCCTCCTACCTGGATCCCTTCTTTTCTTCCTTCCCTTCCCTTCCCTTCGACGAGGTGACCAGGGACCAAGGGGACCAGGGGACCAAGGGGACCAGAGGACCAAGGGGACCAGGGGACCAAGGGGACCAGGGGACCAAGGGGACCAGGGGACCAAGGGGACCAGGACGACCATGTGGACCAGGAGCAAGCATACAAGAGACGGGAAAGGAAAATAAGTATTTTTTGATTAGTTAATTAATTTGTTGTTGATTACGTAAATAATATTTTTTTGATTCGGTAATTAATTTCTTTTTGATACACATGCCCCTACAGGCATGCCTAGTGCGCTGTTTTGTGAAGGACACTGCTTCAGCATTCTCCAACTTTGAACATTAAATAGGAAGGGAGGGGCCATGAATTACATCTACTCTTTTGTCTTAAGAGATCTTAAGAGTACACAATACACCGAAACCGATCGAAACCGTAGTAACATCGTCTTACGTCTTCCTGTTTCGGGCGTTTGGTGCACCCGTCGACCCGTCGCCTTGGAGACGGTGCCGGTGACGTGGCTCACCAACGTCTCGGCGGTTTCGAAGGCGATGGCATTCACCATCCCCGCGCAGCCCTCGGTCGCTGCACAGCGGACAACCTGGACTTGTCCAAGAACTTGGATTTTGTAGACTCAAGACATTGAGGAACCGGGAAAAAAACAAAACTAAAGAACATCTTCCGGGCCTTACAAAGAACTGACCCGAACGTTCGGGAAAATCAACAAGCACCAACCATCAAACGCGAAAAATGGTCGAATTTGACCTTCAATCGAACGAACCTTCGCGTCCGCATCAATGTGCCGTTGAGGCCGAGACCGCAAGAACGACGCCGGAGAAGATCACCAAGGGCCTCAAGGACTCCGGACGCCGGACGCCCCTTTTTCTTTGGAACCCAAAGCTACGACACGGTATAACCACCTGGAGATGAAGCGGAACCTTCCCCGAAAACTGGCTGGCACAGCTGCACCATGTATGTGTATATATAGTAAATCACCAATCCCTAAAGGGGGGGGAGGTGGGGACCCTCGATTTAACTTCTTTTCATAATGAAAATCACATCAGTGACCCAACACCTGGTCAGCATGCTGATATTTTTCCACTGGCTGCTGTCAGCATGCTGGCTGCTGCGTTCCGCTTGCGGCAGCACCGCCCCAGGCGTACCAGGCGTACCAGCTCATTGGGGGGTCGCCAGTCCAATCCACAGCCGTGTCAAACTCCGATGATCCACACACCGCTCTGACACTGACGGTTGGCTCGGTGGCGCGAGTGGTGAAGAGGATGGACCAACGTAGATAACGCATGGGAAGAGGAAACAAAGAAAGGATGATAAAGGTCAATCACATCTTCGGTCAATCACATGCGAGTCCCTTAACAGAACAATCCAGCCCCAGCAGTTGAGAAAGCTTGGTTTGGGCTCTCATTTCATTAGGTGGTCTTTTACTACAGGACATCGTTTGGGATTGCCCATACGTTCCCCCATACACCTGATTTCGTTGCACAACCCAATGATCTTTGCCGACAAACCTCACAAAATCGCAAACAGTATTGAGTCCTTGGTATTCCTTGGGACTTCCAACTGTTGAGCCGCCATGAGCAAGCAGGACCCCCGGCATCAGTGGATCCACTTCCAAGGTGTATGCGCCAGTTTCTGTCGAGCAACGGCAGTGACGCAGGTTCTACCCGGCTTCAACATGTTCCAACGGCGGAGTGTCTCCAACTGCTTCGCACTTCAATCTTCAGAGGACAGGAAGTTAAAAGAAGAAAACAATTACACGTTGACCCGTGAGAGATTGCTTAGGGGTGCAAGACCTCCAAACAGTCCAGGCTGGTGATGTCCCAACATTGGTCTTCTCAAGTTTTGGAAGACACCTTCTGATCTATTTCCGAAAAGAGATGAAGATAGCAGGCAAAGCCCATTCTGCCCCCCTGAATGCAGTGTTGCAGGCTGCTACAACACCTTTAGAACGGCTTGCCACGTTTGAGCTCTGATTGTTCTGAAGCACTGAGGACCATCACGTGTCTTGGCCACGATCATGGAAATCTGCCTGGTTAAGGAACTTCTCCTCATCGGACAATCAACATCATGCTGACATCTTTCTCGTAGCCCAATTGGTCCAAGTGTTGGCCCAAGTGGTCCCATGGAACACGATAAAACAGTTAAGCAAACTGGATCTTCATTGAATTATCCCAGTGAAGCTGATCCCGTTGATATCAACCCACACATACTGTATTCCTGTCTATGGGTGTGTTACATTGTCTTACATAATTCACCCAAGGAGCCACCCGGAAACTGACAAAAGGCCAACTATGGCAAGATGGACAAGAGGCATCAAATGCTTGGTAGATCAATGGTCTCCCCTGAATTCATTCCAATAATTTTGTGTGCCCTCTTCCAACTTGACCCTTCCCCAGCAGGCCATGTCAAGCACCAAACGCTCCTCCTTCCGCTGGACGTGGTTCCTTGTGTCCCCACGGTGCCCACGGTGCGCCCCGACACTTCATGGTTTGGCAGCTCCGGTCGAACCTGGGTTGCGGGACGTGGAGATGGGGCGGATGAGATCTCCCTCCAAATGATGTGTATAATATATACATATAGATGAGTTGGAGCGGATTCCTTTGATTTTTTTCTCCAGGTATAACGTTTTGGCGCTGCATCTATCTGGATCTTGTATCCAACAGATTCCAAAGCCCCGCCTGTGCCATGCTGAGGGAAGTAAACTGCCACTGGTCTTGAACCAGTGCAGCTATTGCCAAGGATTCGATCATGCGGACAAAACACTGACAAAATATGACAAAACCCAAATTGGCAACTGCAAGAAACACGCTAGTCTTGATTCGGCATTGCTAAAAAAAGACCCACAAGGCCTGCACTCAGCCTGCAGCAGTGTTGGTCACTCTAATTTGCATTTACAGCGACAGTTTTGTGGGATGAGATCAAATGTGGCCCATCTTTGAAACATACCCAACCTGGTCATCCAATTTGACACATACATGTTACATGGCTGTGCGTCATGGCACCAGGATACCGACCCGTTGACCGACTCGTCCGCTACGTGGTTGACTGATCGGGCTCCAGATTGAATGACCCATTCCGATCAAGAGCTTCCGATCTACGTGCCTGTTCACTTCTGCTGCCAACTCATCCACGTTCCCGGCTTCGTGACTGCGACGGGCTTCGTTGTCGTGTTTTTTGGACGTTTTTCCAGAGCATCCCAAAACAAATCAAAACAAACTTGTTCATGGGTGTCAATCATCCCGAAGACAGTGGAACAATACTCAACACTGCACAACACGAACCAGCTAACATGGGTGTCCTAGACTGAATCTGAACAAAGAATAAACATCCTTTGCCGCCACACAAACGAATCATGCGGTCATACCCTCATAGGTTGAATATAACATGAGTTCAACAGTTGTGGGTGGAACAGCAACCATCTCAAAGCCATCTATGGCTTGGGGCAACTGCTTGCTCCAGAAGTCCGTGAGCCTGTAAATCTGCGGGAGCAGGATGTCTATGTTGGTGACCGTCCACAATAGCACATGATCCTCGCAAAGGCGACTCATGGAAAAGCATATCAAAGCATATCAAGGCAAGTGGATGTGGCGCAAGCAGTATGGAGTATGGACACACAAAAACATGAATCAGCAATTTTGTGTTGTCCTCATGACAAAAGGAAGTCACACAAAAGCTCCCTTGGCTTCATAGATAAATATTCACCTCCCCCACCCATGGCCGCTTTGCAGGTTTGTTTCCATGTGGACCCATGGGTACAGGTCATCCAAGATATCAAGGTGCTCCCTGTCCCTTCAGACGAAAAGCAGCGGAATCCGCTGGCGGAATCCGACTTGATCCAAAGCAGCCTTGTAGTTGTCTGGCTTCATCTGTGCTGGCCGCAAGGCCTTGAGTTGATTGATCAGTTTTGACAGTGGATGCCATTAGTTTGGGACCCGCAGTTTCGGGATGATTTACTGAGGGAATGTCAGATTCTCATAGTTTCCCGGACGCCATCAGCTTTAACCAGGGACGTTCAAATACGACAATTCTCACTTAAGTGGGTTGAGCCGGGTCGCATTCTCACTTGCATCTTTGCCAAGCATGAGCGAATAATGGAAACAAATCCAACCAAACCCTGGTCAGTCATATATGGAGTCATAGGGAAACAGAACACAAAACAACATGAATCTAAACAAACAACATTAAACTCTACGGAACCTAACTTCATACCCTTCCAGCACCCTCGCATGCGCAAGCCATGCGCAAGCCCCAGACCGGCTTGAAGCCCGCGGCCAACTGCCAAAAGGAGTTCTTCCTCACAAATAACGTTTCCTCTTACAGGAAGAGCAAACATGGTCCCCACGAAGAAACAGCCCAGTCGAGGATGAATGATATTGAATCGATCTATAGAGTGGCCATATGCCCAAATGCTTCCCTTCCAAGTGGAAAAATAAACGATTGAATCGCTCTACAGAGTGTCCAATCATTGGAGCAGTCCGTGCCATGCACAACCCTCATTTTGCTTCGGGGCTCTGTTCCTTCCGAAGGCCGGCCCGACGGCAGTCCTCGTAGACGGATCGATACTGAGAACCTCGGCCAAGACGCCAAGTATTAAAACGAAAGTCTGGTGGGTCCGTGCAAAACAAATGCAACATGTATACAGTAAATTACTTAACCTATATAATAGCAATGGCCTCCAACCTACTAGCGATGGCCTCCAATCTAGAAGCAATGGCCACCAACCTAAACAAGTGCAACATGTTGTGGAACATGGTGCAAAAAGACTCACATGGGCTTTCTCCACGGTACCTCTGCAAATGGTTTCATTCGTGACAGGTCTCAGAAATGGCAGTTTACACCATGTTCACACCATGTTACACCGTGAAACCTGTTAGCCGGATCTCCTCTGGATCGACCTGGTCACCCCCCTTCACCAGCGGAGCATTTGCAGCTTGGCAGCCAATGGTTCCGAGAATTGAAGCAAGATCGGCACCTGAAGGGCAAAATGTGAGGAAAACGGCCAAGCAATATCAAGCAAATCGCCTTCTTTGATTCCATTCTTGAAGCTTCTGCTTTCAATCTGCAATAGTAATCTGTGGACCAAGGCAATATTGCGCACATGCTGTTGTCTTTCCATGTTTGATGCATCAATCCCACCAAGAGGTGCCCTGCATCGGCAGCCACTACCCCACTGAACATGCACGAAACAATCATTCCCTCCGAGGGCGCGGCCAAGAGCGGCGCAAGATCTTTGACCATGGCCTCGCTGGCCACGACGAAGCAGCCCAAAGGCCTGAATCTGAAGAACTGGGACCACATGGAACCGAAACAAGGCACACGAAAAGTGTTCCCAGGCACTGTAGTCCAGTCTTCGAGAGGTACTCAGGGTGCGATGGATTTGAGTCTTGTGAGGAAGAACCTTCTGACTCCAATCAAACAATTGTTGTTCGGTAGCATGTACCGGATTCAATATTCACAAAGTGTACCGCTGTGTGCGGTGGTCAGGGAAGTGAGTTTTAATCAGAACTTCCGGAAGTCTGGATTGCCATGACTCTGCAGATCTTGGCTACAAAGGTTGTTGAATCTGTCACACAAGCAAGCACCGCATGGGCACAGCAGCTTAACATCAGCTCACAACACAATAATAGCAACAATAATCCTCCATAGATAAGTCACTGCCCAAGGGCACACCATTTTGATATGACTTTCCTATTTCGTCGAAAGGACTTGGAAAACACAATTACCAAGTTTTCTGAGATATGACAATTACCAAGTCATCAAACAAATTGGATCCAAACACTCCGCTCCAAGTTTTCTGAGTCCCCCGCTCCAAGCCAGCCGGCAGCAGCTTTCGCACCGCCGAGGCGTGCTGGGCGGATGCGGACTCTGAGAGAGTGTCTTGGGCATATTTCCTGGAAGAATAGGGAGCGTGCTTGCAAACTGTGTCCAAACACGAGTGATCACGCCATTACGCCGTTACGGTGTTGGACACATTGCCTCCTACGCCACTATGACGATACGTCAGTCGATACCCCCTTCAGTGTGTCTCGGTGCATCGGTGCGAACGTGCTTTGCAGGCGCAAAGACAAGAAGAGAGAATTACTTGCGTAACAAAACGTTCACCAACAATAGACCATACAACACCGATAACGTACATTAACAAATAGGTGCTATAATGTGCTATATCAATATATGGGGTATATAGATATCTTTTGCATGTTATAGATATAGTTGTGTAGATTTATACTGTAAATAAATAGATAGATAGATAGATAGATACGTTTCATCTCCTCTGTAGTCTGTCGGGTCCCATCGGGTCCCTCTTTCGACCCATCGGTCCCCGCTGGGTTCTGCCTGTTTGGCCCACTCGGTGAAAGAGACACCGTTGGCAGAGGACTTCAGCAGCGACACAAGCTCCTGTTGAAAACGTCTACCCTCCAACTCAGGTGGAAGGAAGTGGAAGGTATGGCCTTTGGGACGACCATTTTCCACTTCCATGTGATGTGTTCGTCGGAGTCTGCGTATGACAGGGATCCATGTGTTTAAAGCAAGCATTTGTCTGTGTCCTGCGCTGCTTGCGATGCCTGCCTGGAATTGGCTTGGTTGGTTTGGTTTGCCTTTTGTTGCTGTTGCTTTGGTCAGTTCATCCTTAAGAGGTTCTTTTCAAGAGCGGAGCTTCGATAAGATTCAAGGATTTGCAATGATTTGCAGACACCCATGAAATTATGCAAACTACCTCTATCCGTATGTATATAAATACATAATATTATACATATACAGATGTGTATATATCAAACGGACATGTCTCAACATTGTTGAACAACAAATACGAGAATTGTGTCTATAATGCATAATCCATTTGCTTGGCAATAAACAATATATATTATATTACATTACATTATATATAATCTATTGATATCTATTGTATATAATTAACTGCTTGCAATATGCTTTTTGACAGCACAGCAATACAACCCCTTCTTGTGCTTCTGAACAAGCTCTCTTTGGTTCTACAAGTCCTTTGGCTGAGTCGAAGGCTCTCCCTCCTGTGACCAATCGTTTCTTCCCACGACTCGGATTGCAAATTCGGATCTCCGTTGTACGATCTCTGGGAATTGTATGCGTTTCAAAGTCGCAACATGTAGCAACTATCAGCCATCAAAGCTTCCACTTGCGAGCATCGCGTGACAGTTCCGAACCCAAACATTGACATGGATAATGGGTCGTCGCAATATACATCACGAGATCATCAGTATCACAGTCATAAAGCACTGCAAGATATCTTGATCAGTCCATCCATGAATGGAAATCTTTGTGTCCAACTTCTACGGACTTGACACTCACAAATTCACCCCAGTGATCATGATTAATTCGGGTTCTGGACCAGTCCACCTAAAACCAGGTGTTCATCAACATGGGGGGCCGCAGTGGTGGGTTCTACAAGACGCACTCGGAGAACTTCTGTGGCCTTTTGCATCCTTTTTCCTTGACCGACAAAAAATCTTCTTCATCCTTCAAGAATCGGGAAGAGTAGATGCAAAGATCTGGTCGCTCTCAGATAATCCTCCACTGGTCGGATCTGTCCTCCTGAGCAAGCTCCGGCGTGGCCGCTGCAAACAGCACATCGCCCAGGCCATCTTCCACCTGGGTTGATAGTGCTCATAGCCAAGGACATGACTCATGTGTCAATCATTGTTGATCCATGGATCCATGATGCATCTCCTTTAAGCAAAGTTCAGCTCGTACTTGTATCAGCTGGTGACATTTTCCATTTGTTGATTTCTTCAAACAGAAGACCTATAGCTCTGCTGCTCATTGGGCCATGCACTGCCTCCTCTCTTTCTGGGACATCAGCTGGCTGGCCCAGCAAAAGCCCGAACCGCACAGGCGTCCCATGTAACCTGCCAGTTGAAACGGCGTTTTTGTGAGTGAAACACAATGTGAGCTCTGTTTACAAACACATGTTCTTTGCAGTAATCGGTGACTAGAACAAGCAAATTGAGTCCTGCTTGATTGGTCATTTAAACACAAAACAAAAACATACCCCAAAGGAACAAACAAAGCCTAAAAAGTTCATCCTGGTCATGGAATAACATACCCTGAAACCAAGTATGTCTGCAGCCAGCTTAGCCGTTTAGCCAAGTATTAAAAGGGATTACCAGTTTTGACATGCTCCTAGCGCATTGATTCGAAGTGCTGGAAATCTGTTCCACTTTTCCAGTGATCTCCGCATCTATGTCTAGGAGTCTAGCTCCTAGAGCACAACGCTGCTAGAGCAGGGCCTTGAACTGAAGTTGCCAAAGAAGGTGCCATTGAAGGTTCCTCGCAGAAAACAATATTGGCCGTGCGGCAATCACCTAAGGACCTAAGGTACCGCTACCGCTGCTCGTAGTACAGCGTTGATCCAAAATGTGTGTCCTTAATATGAAAGGGCATGGGTTCCGAAAGAGCATGGGTTGGAGGGCATCACTAGTAGGTTGGAGGCCATCGCTATTAGGTCCGAAAGAGCATGGGTTTGTCCCCGAACCTGGTTGAAGTAGGGGCAGATATGTTTGTGTACAACCTGCGGGTCAAACGGCTCATAATGAGTTCCTCTTGGACTTAGACCATGAATTTCAGAATAACTCAAGGCTCTAAACGTTCCGCGCCTTTCTTTGCCATGGCTCAACCATCAATGGATGCCCATGTCTACGAGATTGACAGCTCTAAGTTGCTGTCTCGCCTTCCGGCTGCTTTTAGCCAATCTTTCTCAAACAATTCAAACGCTTGAGTTACTATTACTATTCTGCAAACTGACTGAACTCTCTGGGAAACTCTTGGAGGAGTTTCATGCATGATG